GGACCAGGGGAAGGCGCGGCTGCTCACGCACTGGGAGCAGATGGACTACGGGGTGCAGTTCACGGCCTCCCGCAAGTTCCTGACCATCATGCCCATCGTCCTGTGAGTACCGCGGGGCCGCGCGCCGCCCCGAGACCAACCCGCGGGGTGCTGCAACTCAGGCGCCCCCTTCTCTCTTGTTCCCCTCCTTTCCAGGTATTTTCTAACCAGCTTTTACACCAAGTACGACCGGATACACTTCGTCATCAACACCATCTCCCTGATGAGCGTCCTGATCCCCAAACTGCCGCAGTTCCACGGGGTCCGGATCTTTGGGATCAACAAGTACTGAAGGGCGTGGGCGGAGCGCGCGGCCGAGGAGCGGGGCAGGGGGGCACGTCCCTCCCCTCCCCTCCTGCCTCCTCACCCCCGTGCACGCTGGGACGTCACCTCGCAGCGGCTGTTCCCCGTAGACACCTACCGCATGCTGGATCCTCGCGCCCAATAAATCTCAACGAGCTCCAGAGTAGAGTTTAGTGCAGAGCGGGATGCGCGGCGCTGGAGTTCTCTCATTCCAGGGTCATAAGTAGATGCAGACACACTGAGATTGCCAAGGTACAACGAGGGTGAATTCTGGGGAGGTTTTCATCTGTCCCGGACTCTGAGGGAAGAGAATAGGGATGAGGGGAGAAGCTTTTAGTGCTGGTACTATTGCTGTGGTAAATGCACTTTACAATATCTGTCCCTTTCTGAAGCGAGGTGCTTTAAGCGATACGGGGGGGGAATTCAAAGGGATACAGCCAGATTTTCCCAATACTTGATTGTTTTGGGGTTTGAGTTCCATTTTCGGGTGGGGGAGTGGGAGGGGGGAAGAGAATGACAGATTTTTATTTTGCAATCTTTCACACCACTGAGAAAGGAAGTTCTTTTCCTGAAAGCAGCACAGGAGGGAATGACTGCAATCTGACAAAGCCTTTCCATTTTCTGTGGTACCATTCGTGTGGTGCAGGGAGAAGCTCGAGAGATCCCAAATCAGACTTGTTCTTTTCAGCTTGTTCCAGAATCATCATGGGCAACTCTGCTCCCCACCCCTCACTGCTCGTTTCTAGGCATTTCTAAGCCTTCTGGTCAAGGGCTGGGGTGCAGGATGTTTTAACCATCGGCTGCAGATGGCACCGAGCTCCTTGGTACACAGAGGTGGCACAAGGATGGTAAAGGCCAGACGAGGGCCAGGCAGCTGCTCGCTGGCATCAGTCAGTGACTGTAGCTGGGGTTTTTCTCCTCAGTCCAGCTCCTTGCTCTGTGTACATGTTCCTGGGATTTGCCAGCAGGCTTAGCTCAGTGTCTGACTCCAGGGAAGCGAGTGTTTGGTTTCTGGCTTACCTGGGAGGCTGTTGCTCAGCTCCAGAGCTGCAGCTCCATCCCCCAGCCCTCTGGTGATCCCTGGCAGGGGTGAGCAATGCTGATGAGCAACACTAACGAGCAGCACCAGGCTGAGCTGACCAACAGAGGGATCCAGTGGGTCACTGACAGTAGATTATTTAGCATGGGAACAAAATTGAGCCTTTCTCCCATAACATTACCACCTGAATGAAGGAGGTTTGCAGCTTTCCATTTCCTGGCAGAGACAGCTTTCTACTGGTCAGAGGAAGCAGTTTTGCTTTTGGGTTGTGTGCTGGGTGAGATGTGGTTTTCCTCCCTGAGTTTCTGTTGTCTTAGTGCTTATATTGTCTCACACTTTGGATGAGGGTATAAACATTTCAAATATGCTCTTTTTGTTCCTGCATTAGCCAATTCTAGCTTTAGAGGTCATAGTGGATATTGCTGAGTTGTTTGATGGTCTCAGAGTAGGATGTGGGCAGGGGAACTCCAGGGCTGGGTAGAAGATTTAGTGCTCCTCCATGTATCACTTTAGCAAGATGCTTTACTGCTCTGTCTCAGACTTGCTACCAGGCTGCTGCAGAGAAGGGAAAAATGTTTAGCATACCTCAGAGGGCTGCTGGAACACAGAGAGAATTATTAGGTGGTACATGTGAAAAGTGGAAGTATTTTAAGTGAAAAGGAAGTTTTCAGGAAGGTAGCAAGAGCAGGGTCTGGCTGGACACCCAAGTGCTGTTCTCCAGAGAGGGAAGTTTGACAGACGTGCAGTTCACTTGTTGGGGGTTAAACCATTTAACTGCCACGACCCAAGGGCTGCTGCTTTATGGTACTCCACACCCTAAAGCTCATGTACTCTTTGAGCTACTAGACAATGACTTTGGGAAAAAAAATATAGTGTTTTCAGAATGGAAATATTTTATCAGTCAGCCAAGAACCTTTGAAATGAGTAAAAAATAACAGTGTCTGTGCCTGGAATGCTTATGGAAAGGCTGCTGCCCTGGGAGCTTCACAGCTCTGAACATAACACCCAACAGATCTGAACATCTGCCCACAGACACGACTTCCATGCCAGTGCTCCATCTCCAGGGGAAAGAAAGCTGTTTATTTTGGTAGACTATGAGGGGAAAAACATCAACTTTTTGCAACAGAAACAGTCACTATATGCTTAAGACCATTACTCCTACACAGACAGACATATAATGGTCATTTCTAAGCATAGGCACATTACACAAAGCCAAAGCAGGTCTGATGGTTTTAGCCTAAGTGTAAATTGAAGGTCAGGGTCAGCTCTTCTCGAGCTACAGCACCTCACAGGTCCCAGAAAGACCCTGAGGCTACAAGAGCTGAGGGTTTGAACACATTTGTGCTATTAACTGACAGTCTGGATGTCTGATGCTGTTTTGTTAAATTAAAGCTCAGCCGTAGAACAGAATGGGATTATAAACTTCTCCAAAAGGCAGTTTCTAAATCTTAAAGTCTACAACTTCTTGTCAGGCAAAGCCTTAATTATCATAGTTAAGCTTTTCTGATTTACCTTGTTCACACTGAAATGATTAAAGTAGCCATTACAGAGGCATGTTCCATGGCAAAAAACATCCTTTACGATACAGGGACAGCATTTTTGCCATGGATTAACTGAAATTAAAGATTCACACAGTTAATCCAATCAAGGGAAACATAAAACTGGAGAAATAAGGAAAGAAATGAGACTGTTGAAAGATTTCATGTTAATGATGTATGATAAGTACATAAGAGTAATAATTACTTGAACAATTATACATCTGATAGTGTATTCCTTAAGATCCTGTCTTAAGGGTATCAGAATTAATCAAAAATAGAAAAGAAACCATAAGTTGATTGTAATCAAACCACAGTTGCAGTTGCTGCTCGTTAGGTGTACCTGAGGTAGCTCTGAGTGGCAGTTTTGGGTGCTGCTGGTCACAGGCCAGCTCGTGGCTCCTTCCAGTCGGTGTCCTGGGGTGAGTGGTCCTGGCTGCAGCCCCAGCCCCAGCTCCAGCACTGGGGAGGTGACAGGCAGTGCTGGGTGTCTCAGGACCCTTCACTGAACCACTTCTGGGTTAGTTGGGCTCGTTGAACTCCTGCAGGAGCAAGTTCAGCCCTCGGGGGCTGACCTGGCACAGGCAGCAGTTAGACAGTGCTGGGGCAGCTCATTCCAGACAAGGGTGATGTGGGCAGGGTGAGGGGGTTCAGACGTGGACTCACAGCTAACTGCAGAGATCTGAGGTTGGCACCTACCCTGTGCCTCAGAGCCCAGCACACGAGTGCAGAGACCATCCACTCCTTCTGTAGCATTTTCTCCAAGTACCTGCATGAAGGAGATAATTGATTGTTACTGATTTTTAAATGGGGTTTTGATCCCTTGACAGATTTTCCTCTCACACTTGTACTGGCTTCCTGACTAGAGCAAGCTATGGAAAAATGCAGAATTAAAGGTGGGCTCCAGCCTGTGACTGAGAAACAATTCCTGGCTAAGGGGGGGAATTAAAATGCTTTCCTGCTTTGTTCTGCCACGAATGCCAAAGGAGAAGAGCTTTTGAAACCCCCCACTTGAACCTCACAGGGCTGGCAGAAGCTGTCCCCCTGCCTGGGGAAAGCCTCCTCCAAGCTGCTGTCAGGCCAGGCGCGTGTTCACAGCATGGCAGTGGCTGCACCAGGAACCTGGGGACACAAGTCCTGGCAGCCTGGTGCTGCCAAACCTGGGATCCTGCCTCCTGATTCCTTTAACCCAGCTGACAGGATGTCACACCAGCCTCCCCTGCGTAGCAAAAAGCCTTTAAAAAAAAAATAAAGCCTGAGATTGAGGGCTACTTAATTTTCCCCTCTCCCCCAAGTACTTTTTTTTCTTTTTTAATCATTGTTTAATTTGTTTGTTTTTATAGAAGCATGGTACTGGCCCTTGGAAAGGGGGACAGCAGCTGGTTACCATTGTTAACACATTAATCTTTCTGATTGTGACTTAGGTTGCTTTATCATTGCCTATAATCTCTTTTAAGCATGTGAGTGTTTGTGCATACGTGTCCTCCTTGGATCAGTTTCAGTGAGATGAATTAGCTGGGTTGTTCTTTTTTTAATGGAACGTTCTGACACTGTACAAAGTTTTAGGGTTTTTTTCAGTAGCCCTTCTTTTTGCTGTGTATACAGAAGTCTCACGTAGAGAACTTTCTAAAATAAAGTGTGAATATTTTTATTACTCCTTTGTACAGTAATCTAAGAGAAACTAATAAAGTAAGTATTCATGTAAGAACTTGGGTTTGGTTCACTGAATTTTTACGTGGACTGGGTTTGCTTTTTAACAAGCATGGTGAGTGAATTCTGGGCAGCAGCTAGGCTGCAGCAAAGCAACGAGCCTGCAGTGCATGGATGGATCCTGTCGTGGGGCACTGCCCCAGCAAGTCACACGAGCCCTCTGCTACCAACAACAGGCCATAAAGTACAGAAACATGCGTGCCACCGGTCAGTAAAAGGTAATAAAAGGGCCTCCAGAAACATAAAACTGTCCCCTTGTCTACACCACACTTCATTAGCTCAGAGGTTAAGGAGGACCACACGCTGCTCCTCATCCCACCAGATCAGGAGTGTAAGTGAAACCAGAGCCAAGCTCAAAATAACACAAATCTTACAGGAATGATACAGCTACAGAAATTCAAGTTACCCACAGCCCCTGCCACAGATCACAACAGGCTGACTCGGGTCAACGACTGAACCTTTTGGGAGGAAGAATTATGCAAGCAGGAGGAGTTTTGTGCCCCGACTCAGCAGCTGCTTCCTGCTGTCTGAGCAGCAGGGCGGGCAGAGCACTTCCCCAGCCCTCACTCCAGGAGCCCACACCGCTGCGGAGGTGCCGCGGGGGCTCTGCGTGGTGCCCACCGGCGGCACCGCCACCGCTCACCCCACCAGCAGGCAAGTACCCTCTCCAGAGCTTTTGGTACAGCAGAGGGGGGGAGGAAGCTGACTGTGAGGTGTTCCTGTTGAGTTTCTATCTCTTTTTGAAGTCTCCCAAGAGAACAAGTCCTGTGGGTGGTACTGAAATGATCTCACATGAAGCACGCACGGCGCCGTTCCCTCGCGTACGACACGCCACCCCTTGGGATGGGACTTCTCCTACTTTCTGGAAGGCTCAGACTAAGTCAGGCTGTTTTCTCAGAGCCCTGTGGGATGTTGGGGAGAGGGAAGAGACCCCCCACCACCGGCTCATCTGACCTGGAAAGGGTGAAGGCCTCTTCTCTAAGAAGACTGGATTCGGAGGTGCAGAGGAGGGGACAGACCTGCACCTCTTTCTTCTTGGTAAGTAGAGGAAGGTTTTTCTTCTGTAGATCAAGTTCCTCTTTGTCACCCCTTACACACGAGAGCCAAAGCAAGAAGCAGCACTGAAACTTTGGAGTAAAATCAAGCCACAATAGGAAACCAAAAGTGATTTTGGTTGTGCCCCCCCCCGCACCCCTCTGCAGGGGGCACAGGCAAAGCAGCAGGACATTCTGAAGTGGCTGTGCTGGGATGGGCTTTGGGAGGAGATCTGCCATAGAATAAACTCCCCACTCTCCCTCCCTCCCTCCCTCCCTCACCCCCAGTTCACCTCTCAGCACTTTCATTTCCTTGCAGTAAGACTTTGACGAAATCCTTTTGTTCGTGCTCTATTGCGAAACCCAAAAAAACCCAACCCCTGCCACCCTCCAGGCAAGAGGCACCAGGAAACCCTGGAGCACCAAAACCAGCAACAAATTCCTCAAGCTTTTTTCTTTTTTACCCGAGTGCGACGCATTAGTTAAAGATTAAAGCATTTAGGACCACAGCAGGTCTTAGGTTAAGGAGCAATGTCTAGTTTAGTAAAATTATTGTGGTGCATACTGGTGTATGCAACAAAATATTGAACTGAAAGCACAGGAACAGCCTCGGGTGCTGAAGATCTGCACCCTCAGAAACTGCAGCTGCATTCTCTGTCCTCACAACAACTGGGAGCTCCCTGGCAAAGGGGGATGAGTCTCAACCAGCCTCGTTAGCCTGCCACGGCTCATACTCCTCCCTCTCCAAACACCCTGTGAACAATCCCAAGTTGCACCTTTGTACTAATGTATGATTTGGGGGGTTATTATTGATTTTGAAAAGATCTTTAATTGTTAACGTATTTTGTTTCAACCTTCTCCTTGTATTTCACCTAATTTTGTGTCACTCATCCTGCCCCTTTCCCAAGGCACACGTCCCCTTTGCATTGCTTCAGAAGCTCGCCCAGCCGCAGCAGCATGTTTAAGAAAGTCACCCAATCCATCGTGAAACAGATGGATCCGGGGGGAGACCTGGTCCCAGTTCACAGCATCTTAGACCACGAGCACTTCCAACCCCTCTGCCTGCTGAGGAGAAAAAGAAAAGCCAAATTCCAGCCATTTCCCCGCTACAGACAGACGTGGTACCGCCTCGAGGACCTGCTGCTGCCCGGCAGAGACGACAAAGGCACAGGTAAAACCCCCCTGTGGCACTCTCAAGCTCACCATTTCCACAGACAAACCACTCGGACCATTTGTGCCTGAACTCCCCCACGCCCCAGCCGTGTGTGCGGGGCAGTTCCAGCAGGGGGGTTGTGGAAGTGCCCGAGCTCACGTGCTGAATCACTCCAGGGTCCCACCTCCCCACCGGCAGTACAGGCCCCAGGCAGTTCACAGTCCAAAAAAGCAGCAGTGACAGAGTGGATGGGAGCCTGAACCTCTGCCTCGACTCCGCCAGCGTGGAGCTGAAGGGAGCAGCCTCCTCCTCCCAGGGCTGGGCCATCAAGCTGCAGAAGAACCACATACCAGTGCCACAGCTGGATGCACTGATGGCAGAGAGGTAAGAGCTCCCTGGGCACCCTCCTCCAGCCCACCCCAGATCACACGCCGGTCTCTCAACCCAAGGTTTAGACCCCAGAGCACACAAGAGGGGCTATAAAGAGTCCTCACGCTGCTCTGTCAGCCTTACAGATTCCTGTGTAATTCAGAGGGCAGGAGCACTGCCACAGAGCCAGGCTCTCCGTGGGGTTTGTACCTATCAGGAGGGGTCACCCGGGGGACCTGCCAGCCCCCCAGCCCCCTCAGCCTGCAGGGGACACACTGAGGACACAAGAACCACAGCACATCCTTTGCCACCTTTTTCCTCCACAAGCCCCCAACACGGTGATATTTAAGTGGATGCACTGCTTCCTTTTTCTCTTTCAGAAAAGTGAATGTGAATCACTCCTTCGTCCAACAGCTACAGAGAACACGACAGGACTTATACGTGGTGCACGAAACGATCGAGACCTCGGAGGAGGCCACCTACGAGGAGTCCACCGAGGCAGAGGGCAGCTTCATGGCCCAGCTCTACGCCAAGTTCTGTGCAAAGGTTGGGTTCCTCTGCAGGCTCAGTCCTTCCCCAGCACCCACACCCCGCCCAGGCCCAGCCACAGCGTTTTTCCTCTCATTTCCCAGGGCACTCGGGAGAGCAAACAGAGCATAACCATACCCAAGGGCTGCACGCTGGCCTTCAGGGCGATCCAGCTGGCCACTGCAGGGGGACGATGGGGTAAGTGACTCCCAGAAACCACCCCCCCCTCCACTCAGGAAACAACACAGAGGAGGAAAAACATTTTTCTCAAGTAGCATTCAGCCTCACGGCCACCGTTAGCTCATCTGCAAAGCCATGAACACAGGCAAAGAGTGACAGAAATCACCTGAGAAAAGGCCACATGTGAGTTAAAAGCTCCTTGGGAAAGAGCTGCAGTTTCAGGGGGGGTTGGTAAGGAAAGAGAGAGGGATACTGGAAGTCTCAGCTCAAAATTTCAAGAATTGAAGAATTTCTGTGGAAAAACAGCACAGAAGGCAGTTTCTTTTCTCTTCTCCTCCTACTTGGAAGAAAAGAAGCCAGGGAGAAAGCAGGCTGGCCAGCCCTTCAGTGGGAAGACTGGTGCGAGAGACACTTAATACTGGGTAGGAAGAGGCAGGACGGAGAGCCACAGAACCTGCTGCAGGATTTTAGAGCCCCCATCTGGTTTCCTGCCCCTGTGTTTCCCACTCCCAGATGGATCTTGCTCCAGGCAAGCTGCCCTGTTAACTGACCCAGGTTTCAACACACAGAGTGGCTGCAGAGCCTGACCCTGCACAGCACAGCAGGGAACACAGGCTGGGATAACACGTTCTAAAGGAGCAGGGGCACCGGAGAGGAGGGGGGACACCAGCCTTACCCCTGTAATAACAGCAGCTTCAGCCTGCCAAACACCCACCCAGCTCTCAGGGTTTTCCTAAAGCCTTCTTACCCTGTTGCAGATCTGAAGTATTTCCCCAGAGCAGCAGCTGGACACATGTTCCTGTCTGACGGTAAGCGGCGTATTTCACGGCTTCCACTCCTGCTGCCATTACCCACCTCAGGTGAGCTGGAACCTCCTGGGGCAACACAGCCTGAGCTGGTCCCCTGAGACCCGGCAGCTGCCCAGTGCTTCTGGAAACACTCATAGGAACGTGGCAGATTCTACGTTTCCCAAATGCCTTGGGGGATTGCCTGGTTTAGAAGTGATGCACCCAGACTCTTTCTGGCTTTCAGGTCTCTCAGAAGGAGAATTAGGAGCACTGCAGTCAGAAGTTAAAGAGAATTGCCAAATTCTCTCCGAGTTGTCTTCTGATCAGCGCGCCGTGTTTTTGAAAGCCATCAAAGCTGTGATGACAGACAGGAACCTCTTTCAGGAGCTGGCCCACAAAGTAAGCAAAGTTCTTATTGCCAGCACTCCTCAGTGCAGAGACACACTGATCACAGCTCCTGCCCCAGGAGCCTTCCCTCCTGTGCCACAACTATCGACCCCAAAAGCCTCCCCTGGGAAGGATGGTGCCCAGGACACAGCCAGCTGTTGAACCATGTCCTGAACTCAGCCTAGCACACTCACCTGAAAGTACCCAACCACCAAAATTTCATATCCTGCCTTTAACTGGAGCTGGTGTGAACACTAAAGCCTCAATTACAGCCCCAGAAGCAGCTTAGGGAGGAGAGGCACATATGACATGACTGCAAGGGACCATCAGCAGCCTCCCTGCTGAAATCCTGCCAGTTCTTTTTCCTCTCCCTCTAGATGGACGCAGTTCTCAATGAGGATGGTGGTTGTGAGCTGACAACAGAAAGCCCAGACTTAAAAGCCCTGCTGAGCAGCTTACAGAACTCCTCAGGACCTCTCCTCAAGCTGGCCAGAGCAGTCGCCTACACCCTGGATGCACTGGATGGTAAGGGCTGCCCGGCCCTTGTGAGGGGCATCCCCTGGAAAACAGCAAGAGCACTCTGGCAGAACAGAGGAGACACTGAGAGCAAGAGGCCTGCAGAGGATTTACATAAAATAACACTCCCTGCAGGAGGGGCAACATCACCCTTCACTTCCCACCCCTTGTCCCTGGAGTGCTGGTGGGGTTGGGTTTGGTTTTTTTGACACAGAGCTGGTTTAATTCTGCAGAGCTAACGGAGGATCAGCTGCTGCTCCTGCTGGAGTCCTTGGAAGAGAAGGTTGTGCCCCAGCAGCTGAAGCTGGTGAGAGAACACCCATCACATCTGGCTCAGAACAGGGGGTGGGGGCATTAATCCACACTCGGGTGGTGACACAGGTACCAGCATCTCCACTTAGGCTGGGAAGGAGGGGAGGAGTAATTGCTTCAAACTTGGCAGGGATCAAAAGACTCTCCTTGAGAGAAATCACCCCAAAACATCCAGACCTAACATTCTAAGACCTAAGATTTCTAAGAACTGTTCTACTGAGGATAAACATTGAATTGGGCACAGAGAGCTTCTGGGTTTCTTGAAACCACAGTCAATTTTCTGGCCTCTCTGGCTCCTGATTTTGGCTCCTGTTTGTTAAGACAACACAAAAACACACTGCAATTTTAATTCCTTGGACGTAACAAATTCACAACAAACTGGGAAATGAACACAGGAGCCTTCATAATCTCTCTGGATGGAAAGCCCCACATATAACTGTGGATTGTTTAGTGTGCCTGTAAGACAGCAAAGCACCTCACCAGCGAGGTCATTCCCTCACTCAGTGACCCCCACTGCATCAAAACACTGACTTTGCCTTTTGTGTGGCTGCTGCACAGGTCGCAAGCATCCTGGAGCAGGACGTGGAGGGGAAGGAGTGCTGGAGCTTGGCCACCAGCCTGCTCTCCCTCCAGCCAGAGGAGGAACGAGAGCTAACCGTGGCCATGGTCCAGAGGAGCAGGGTGACCCTCCAGAAAGATGGAGCTGCTGTCTGCACAGAAGAAGCCTCCTTGGCCACAGCAGCCCTGTACGTGTCCCTGTATGCCCTTGATCTTCTGAGTAACTCAGATCAGTGACCTCCCCTTGGGGGTGATCTAAGGGGAATCGCCTGACAAGGTCTGAAACTCTCTTACTCCAAGCCAGTTTCTCTCCCCAAACTTTACCCCTGTGAGACTTTCCTTATTAGCACTCTGTGCTGCTTTGAAATGAGTGAGAAAAGCAGACTTAAGGAAAGAAAACTCCTCACAGAAGCCAGAAACCAAACTTGATTTTTCTTCCCCTTATATACGTGCAGAGTGCCAACTGAAAAACCTCCCAGCCCAAACAACCACAAGCCTGTCAGCTGCACTTCAGGTGATCCTAGGTTTCCTAAAATGCACTGGCACATAGCCAGTAAGGCACACAAGAGTAAACCAGCAATGATCCATTTATGCTGATCACACCTGTGATTCAGGAGTAACTCAAAGGTGAGACAGCTGAGGGGCCTCAGAGCCTCAGCAACGCACAGCTGGTAGAGCAGCACCTCCAGCACAGGAACACCTGCAAGGGCTGAGCTACAACACTTCAGAACAACACCACAAATAACTTGGACGACTGCTTTATAATGCAGTATAAAGGGCATCCAGTCCAACCCCCCCCCTACAATAAGAAGAGAAATCTCTAACTAACTAGGTCAGGTTGCTCAGGGCCCTATCAAAGCTGACCTTGAACATCTCCACCACCCCCCCTCTGGGTTACCTGTTCCAGTGATCAACCACCCTCGTATTAAAGAGCTTCTTCCTAATGCCTAACCTAAATCTACCCTTTTCTAGCCTAAAACCCTTACCCTTGTCCTGTCGCTACAAACCCTTGAAGACAGATCTTCCCTGCTGCCTTTTAGACCTCTTTCAGGTACTAGAGGGTCGCTAGAAGGTCCCCTAGGAACCTTCTCTAAAAAATAAAGAGAGTAATTTCTTACTGAATAACGAGATGTTCTCAGAGGTGTGTTTTCCCCCCGCGGCGCTGCCCGCCCGGAGCCCCTGC